TATATATATATATTTGTTTTGCTGCAAACAAAAGTCCCCAGTTACCTTGGCAGATAATGCAGGCAAGAAAAGACATTTTAGTTTGGTATTTTGCTTTTAGAAAAATGGGCCAGGGTAACACATGTTTTCTGATGCCTACTTTAAAACTCAGGGCAATTATCACTGTGTTTTGCAGCGTTCTCCTTGGCTGTCCGTGCTGCTCACCAGTGGATGAAGCTATTGAAAATGTAGCCAGAACACTGGCTACTAGAATAAAAACAGAAAAGAGCCACTGGGCAGCTGGCAGAGTGGGTGACATTGACTTCATTGGATCTAATAAGACAAGAGGAAAGGTGAGATTCTGTAACAGAAATGTAAATAAACAAATGATGTAAAAAAATCCATAAATATGACAAGACTGGTGTCAAAAACAGGATGCTGACATAGCATTTCTATTCCATTCATTCAGTTTGTGAGAGTGCGCAGCAACACCGATCCAGTTCTGATTTACAAGATGCTGACAGAGGAGTGGGGTCTGGCTCCTCCACATTTGGTTGTGGCCTTGGTGGGCGGAGATGAGCTGGCTCAGATGAAACCCTGGCTCAGGGACACTCTTCGAAAAGGGCTGGTGAAAGCAGCGCAGAGCACAGGTTTTTATCATAGGAACACAACTGGCCTTGACTTTTGACAAAAATGGAATGAGGTTTTTTGTTGCCTTTTATTGACTTGTAGCCGAATTGCTAACAGCAACTGTACACAGTATTATTCTTTGATGTGGAAAGTTACAGCCTGAAATCCACTTTTTTCCTTGTGTTTATATGTGTTTTATGCACCAAGATAAAATACATCATTTATTTCTTCAGATAAAATAAAAAAAAAAACTGCACAACAGCATTTATGAGCCAACAATGTAATTTACATTGACTGCACGGCTCTTGTGTAATCTTAGACACAACCTTCTGGTTCCATGCCCGCTTTCAAATTCACTTATAGCTGTGCAGTTTCTGTGGAACTTACCATAAAACGTGCAATACTTCATCCACACACACACACACACACACACACACACACACACACACACACAC